ACAGCAGCAACAGCAATAGCAACAGCAACAGCAACAGCAGCAACAACAATAACGCAACAGCAGCAACAACAACAATAACAGCAGCAACAGCAACAGCAACAGCAACAGCAACAGCAACAGCAACAACAACGACGACAACAACACGACAGTGACAACCAAAAACCAGTAGCGAGCAACCAACAATGCCAACAACAACGATAGCAGCAGCAGCAGCGACAGCAGCAGGGGCAGCGGCAGCGGCAGCAGCAAAAGCACCAGCACCAGCACCAGCACCGGCAGCAGCGACAACACCAGCTAGAACAGAAACAACCAAAACAACACCAACCACAAGCACAACGACGACGACAACCACAACAACAACAACAGCAGCAATCAGCACACTAAATATCCAACAACCAACAACACCATCAGCAGCAGTAGCAACAACAACAACAACAAAAACAACAACAGCAACAGCAGCAACAGCCACAGCGACAGCGACAGCAGCAACAGTAGCAGCATCAGGAGCACCTGCACCCACCTGCACCTGCATCAGCAACAGCAACAGCAACAGTAACAGCAGCGGCAACAACAACAACAACAACAGCAACAAGCACAACTACAACCACAACGACAGCCTCAACGACAACACCAACAGCGGCGACGACGACGACAGCAACGGCAACAGATGTTACACGGACGAGAACACGAACGGCAACAAACCTCGGAATGCTCTGTTGAGTGCCCCCTCAAATTCCGCCCAGGCGCTTCAAAGTGCTGAGGCGCGCCGTGGAGGGAGCCTGGTTCGAGCATGGCTTGTTTGGTGTTACTCCTGCTTCCTGCAACTTCCGCATAAATCATTTAGGGGCTTCCTTCCCTGTAAGGTGGATGCAGTGGTCCCTGCAAGTAGCAAATGTCTGAGAACCATCTCCCAAACTCTGACTTCGCTGCTAACTGCCACTCAGCTTCTCGACAAACCTGGTCTGAATTCTCAACGCTTCGGCATGAATCCAAAAACTCAAGCTGAAGCCCGCGCCAAGCTCTGACGTGCATTGCTGCCGCGGTATCACAAAAGACGATTGTCATTGCCACTTCCGTCATCGTCATACCAACCATATTGCTGGCGGTCCTCGAAGCGTAGCTGGAGCAGCTCCTCCCTAAGCTGTCTCAGCCTCAAGGGCCTAAGCCCCGTGCAGGCACAGGCCAGGAAGGCCCTCATTTTCCTTCACGTGCCCTTGTTCGAAGCGGCCACGAAAGCCAAGACGGTCGTTTGGAATTCCGAGGCTGCTTCCAATGTAGAGCTCGCGGTTCAGAGGCTTTCAGAAAGCGTTGACTTTGTCTTTACGAGGCCTTGGGATCCGAGACTTGGCGAAGCTTTAGGCTTCGGAGTTTTGGACCTTTTGGGGGCCATCGGGTTCTTGGTACGGGAATGTGTCTGCAATAGTAGATCCTGAGTGCACCCCAATAAGTATGGTAATTGTTAATTAGTCTGGTCTTTGACCAGTCAAATTTCAGCCGTGGAGCAACCACCCTAGGCAGGCATTCAACCGGTAATGGGTGATACCATGCAACAACAGCAAACCCTATCCCTACAGCCTAGAAATCCTTCACTGATCGCAGCTGATTCTGCAGGAAGTCTTGCAAGTCCTTCACTCGCACAGCGACACGGTGGTCGCGGTTTTTGCTGGCCACGATCACAACGGAGGCCCGGCCATGAAAAAGCAGGCTACGAACCCTCAGGTCCGTGCTGGCTTGAAAGTTCTCGAAGCTCCGCGGCCCGTCTGCTGAATAGGCTTGACTAACATGGTTTGGTTGCGGGGAACAGCACTCTAATGCAGGAGTACAAGGCAACATGTGGGTCAATGGTGGGAATCCCTCCATCTCGGTGCTTCTTGTCTTATATCTGCCTCTGCCTGATATGCATTCTGATTAAAGGGAGGAAAAGAGGGGTGTCCATAAAACCCAAGTACTAAGTTAACAGGAACCCCAAAGTGCGCAGTGCCGCAGCAAGAAATGTTGATGGCTTGCCCACATGTGCAAAATGTTCTAAAACCTTGAAGGTATCTTTGTTGTCGGTGCCAGCCAAAGAGAATGCCCGCAAAGAGCCTTATGTCCAACCTGGACGTAGCATCGCAGAGGCTTAGAAGCCAACTCCACAATCTCTTGAGTCGCAGCCCCTGGACCCCAGAGTAGCCCCAGACTTTCTTTCTTGACAAAACCCAAGTGACTGGGGTGCCCCAGGCTACGCCGTCGATGCGGCAGGAGCTCCCTAATTAAATCTCACGGTCTATGGCGGGGTTTGGGGAGGTGTAGGTCTTTAGGTTCAGGATGTATTGGCTTCTGGCTTGGGAGTTGGGGTTTGGGGAGTCGACGTGTTGGAGGTCCGGAAGCTCTGCTTCAGTGCTTCATCTTCGCTGGGATTCAGGGTGGGCTTCTGTTCAGTGAAGTTTTCGCTTCTGATGTTATACTCTGCTGGTGTTCTTTTTTTGCATTGTGCGTTGTTGACATGGCTTGCTAGTTGCCGGCGACAACTTTGTGGAGACCAAGATGGTCAGAAGAACTCGTGTGCACTACTTGCGGCAGTCCTACGGAGTGTAACTCTGCAATTTGATCTTATCGATTCGGGTCCTGCCGGCAGTTCAAGAAACCCGCAGCATTAGTATTGAGACATAGTCAGTCTTTGGGCCTGTAGTCTTCGTGGTCGAAGGAAATGCAAGAAAGAAGTCCTCGCCAACCCAAGGCCCGAAGGTGACATTCGAGAACAGTGCCTCCAGCTTCCAAGTGTGGCAAGAGTATATCCAGACCCCAAAACCGATTCGCGGTAGTGAGTTTTAAACGATAGTCAAAACGATAATGCGAACGATGAGGTTTGGCATTACAGCCTGTGCTTGGTGACGACTTGACCATATGTCTATAAAGCCAGTACCCAAGCCCGAGTCCCGGTCCTCAGTTTGACTCCGAGAAGCTTTGTCAAGGACTGAGGCCATCGTTCAATGTAACTGTAACAATATGGACAAATATAGCTTGGCGCTTGCCAACCGATAGGGAATACAATAAAGCGAGAAGGTTTCAGACGGGGACAGGAATCCGTGACTGGGTTTTTGCCAAACCCTGTCTTGAGATCAAGTGCAGGCATACACCACATCACCATGAACTCGCCGTTAACAGCTGAGCCGGGCAGTGACTGCTATGCAGTGCTAGAGTGCCACTCTGATGGGTGGGCACATTTTCTCCCGCACGGACGGGCCTGCGTCCGGGCCTTATCAATTATCAGCCGAAGTTCACTCCCATGTGCTTTGCTTGTGAGCTGAGGTTGAGAGCAACACCGACGGTGCTGGGCAAGCGTATCCGCAGCTCATTCTGGCTAAAGGCTGGGCATGGGGTGGGGATTGCTGAGGGGCTAAAGTTGAGAGTTTTCAGAAAGTTTCTGTGTTGTTGGCTGCGGCATCTACCCTTCCATGCAGCGTGTTGAGTCTAGGGGTTTCTCAGGGCCGTCGAAAGGCGCTGCAAGCTCACTACGCTCCACAATCCTCCACGGCAGGCTCCAAGAACCTGCCCGGTGACGAGCGGTCTCCAGGGGCCGACAGTCAGGCAAGGTGCATAGCCCACCCAGTATGGATGGATGTATGTATGTATGTATGTATGTATGTATGCACGTAGGTAGGTATGCATGTATTTATCTGTGTATCTATGTCTGTTATCAGGTATGCAGGTAGGCAAGGAGGGTTTGAGGGAGGTCCAAGTAGACAGCTATGTAGGCAGGCAGGTTTATATGTGTCTACCTACCTAGCTAGCTACCTGCCTACCTTCCTTCCTTCCTACCTCCCTACCTACCTACCTACCTACCTACCTACCTACCTACCTACCTACCTACCTACCGACCTAGCTACCTAGCTACCTACCTACCTACATGCCTACCTACCTGCTTATTTATCTGCCGGCCTACTTACGTACCTATCTGTCGCTCAGCTTGTCCATTTTACATGTAGGTACTGGCGACGGTATGTAGTTGTATGTGTACTTGTGTGCTGTGGTATGTACTCGCCTGTGATGGTGTTGTGCAATAGAGCTGCATGTAATTGTAGGCTACTGTATGTAACTGTGTAACAGTACGGAATCTTATCCGAGTTTGAGTTATTGCATGCAAGTTTGTGTGTGTGTGTGTATATGTACTTGCATGCCAGCATATATATAAATGCATAGTTCGTCCCATATGTTAAGAGAAGATACACAGAAGCTCTTGGATCCTCATCATCGTCTTGACTTTCCTTCCTTTTGCACAGCTTCCGTTCTTGCATGGGTCCTTCTACCTGAAGCCAAAGCTCCAATCCAAATTTATGCGACACAGGACAGCCTGGCCGAGTTGCAGGCCATGGGCTTCTCCGCCGAGCGCGCAAAAGAAGCTTTTGAGGCAGAAAACCGGCTCAGGCTTTGGATTTGGAGCCGACTTGGGGCTTTCGGCTCCGGGTTTCATATTTCGGGTGGACCCGGGCAGATGAAGGCGATGCATCTCAGGTATGTTGACTGCTTGACCTGCGTAATGCTGATTTGCTGGCCGTTGCTCGCTTTTTGTTTCGGTAGGCGGCTGGTGGAAACATGATTGCGGCGGTGACGATCCTCTGCGGCTGACTTTGAGGACTTAGATGACTGACGGCTCTATGCACGTGCAACTGACTCACCCGCAAATTTAGACCGACTGTGGTAGGGGTTCCTCCTGTGTGCATCAAGCATACTTTGTGCTGACTTCTTTGTCACCCAGGCGTCCGGGTCCATCACTTGTGTATGGAATACGGTACAGTTCACCTGGTCTTGGGTTTCAGATCAGCTAGGCATGAACGGAGAATATTGGCTGAATGACAGGAACGGTAGCTCGACCAAACAAGCCTCTCTCTAGTTCTCCGTGAGCCAACTGGTGCTCCTGTATGTAGGACACCAAGTGAGCAGAAGCCCTTGGGGCAGGCGGCTCCCCTAATGGGGACCAGTACAGATCTCAGCTGCCAGCTCCAAGGAAAAGACGCGGCCGCCGCGGATGACCGCGCGATACGTTCGTTCACCGCTCATGGACATCTTAAGCTTGTCTGTCGTGTCGCAGAGGTGCGCAATCGACAAACAAGCAAGTAACAGCAACATCAAGTAACTGTCTCCATGAGTGGCCAAGTTCGGTTCCAACTTTGAGACAAAGCAACAAAGAGCACTGCCGAAACCCACATGTGACACCCAGCGCGTGGGGTGAAGTATCCGTACATGTTGAACATTCCACGCCCATTGGGCCGTGCTTGATGGCGTTAGCGGCATGAATATCCTGCCTTCGCCTCGACGGCGCATCGTGGGGAAGAGGCATTCCGCGTGGGGTCCGAAGGTGAGACTGCCTCGGGAATTTTCTGGGATATCCTCTGAGCAGAGCTACACAGATGTTTGCGCAAGCATATCATGTATCCCAGTTAGTCTACCAGCTCATCTGTCGTCCCTTGTCCCGTGAGGCCAGCCCCAACAGAGCCGCTGCGTGGTGAAGATGCAGCTTGCTTCCCACTTCGATCATTGGTCATTAATCTCGATCGACGCCGAGATCGCCTGGAAGGAGCCGAACCCTTGAAGCTCCCTTTGAAGCTCGTGAAAGTCGTGTGCTCGACTCCATGCTGGATCAGTAGTCATCTTCGTAGTGGCTGCATCATAACTACTACTACTACTACTACTACTACTACTACTACTACTACCACCTACTGCTCCTACTCCTACTCCTACTCCTGCTCCTGCTCCTACTGCTACTGCTACTGTTACTGCTTCTGCTGCTGTTGCCACTGCTGCCACTACTGCTGCCGCTGCTGCTACTGCTATTGCTGCCACCACCGATTCCTTTGCTTTTTCTGGCACTGCTATTGTTGCCATTGCTATTGTTGCCATTGCTACTGCTACAGCCACAGATGCCAGCACCACCAGCAGCACCAACAGCGCCAGCTCTCTTCAGCAACTCTCTCATTTTGCATACGTGCCGTGCTGGGTTGTGGGCTTGCAAGCTGTGCTCAAGAGTGTGTGGGGAGTGCAATCGAAAGATCGGCTCTCAAGCTCTGAAGGCTTGAGACCACAAAAACCGCGCCGAGAAGCTCAGGCTTTTTTTGAATCGCAGGCTTTCAGCTTCAGAAGGCCCTAGCCTAAGACAACATAGACAAAAATCCCACCTGCCGCTTCCCGATGTTTCCAGTCCAAGGATCATTTCGAGCTGACGGAAACACATTGCAGCCTGAACTCGGACAGGGAGCTCTTCGGTCGCAGAAGGGGCGCTTGACCCCTCCTTCCCATGTTGGAGCGCTGGTGGTGACTCTGAGGTTGTGCGCAAAACCGTGGAACTCCCAAGCCTCTAGCCTGAACCCATCTCGGCAGGTTCGTTCTGGGAGCTATCGAAGCCTGGTACGGGAGCCGAGAGGCGACGGGTTTCTCAGTGCTGTGGCAAGACCGAGCAACCCAAGAGCCCCCGGAAGCGAAGCGGATCCCAGTCTTCAGCCCACTTGAGAGGCCTTCACCAGCTACGTCCGCGGTCCATTGCGGCAGGTGCCGTTGCCGTGGTGCACCTTCAACCCTTTGCTGTGGTTTGGAGTGCGGCCCCAGGGACATAAAGTCGATTCCATGGCACCATGGAAGTCCACCGAAGCTACGACCTCTAACAGCTTGAAGCTTTGCACCGGCGATTTCGCCCACAAGCCACAGCTTGGTGGCTGAGCCTTTTTGGGGCGTGTTTTTGTTCAAGTCTTCCGCAAGGAGCTGCTGCAGTCGGCCACCAAAGTCTCCACCTTGCGCCTCGGCCGTGGGCTTGCCCAGAAGAGACCGCTGCACAAGGGAAGGTCGTGACCTGTAGTCAAAGTAACGATAGACTAGAAGTGCCGATGCAACTACAAGCAGTCGTCAAGCTCGTGCTGGTCTCAGTGATGCCAGTCAGTAACACCAGCGACAATCTTCGCCATGATTTGAACAATAGCAGCAACAGGAACAGCAACAGCAACAAATAACAAACACAGCAGTAATATGACTGTGGTACTCGCGTATCGTAGCAAGTGTAATCTTGGTCATCGCGACAATCGTGGTCCTCGCGCCGTCGCAGTAGCTGAAGTAGCTAGCTAGAGTAGAAGTAGAAGTACAAGTCGTAGTAGTGGTAGGAGTAGGAG